TCAGCACTTCATTCTTTTTAATTGCTGAATAGTGTAGACAGTCCTGCATGGTACTGGGAACCACAAAAATGACTATACAGGCTGAAAGCATGAAAAGCAATCTTGGGGTGCCTGGGTGGCTCAGTCGGTTAAGCGTCTGACACTTGATTTTGGCTCAGGTCATGATCTCAAGGTCGTGAGACTGAGCCCCACGTCCACACTGGGTGGCTTAAGAGTCTCTCTCTCCCGCTCCCTTTGCCCCTCCCCCCACTGCCTGTGTGCATGCACATGCGGGCTCTCTATTTAAAATTTTTTTTTAAAAAAAGGAAGAATAGCAATCTTAATAATCAACGGGAAAAAATATAATTGTCCTGTGGTCTTTAAAAAACTTTGCCGAAACATTAAAGACTCTTACTCTGGCTATAAATGTAAAGAGAAAATGAAAAGATAGTAAAACTAATATTTATTCAGTGCACTGTAAAACATCAGAAATATTGAGAACTAAAGCTATTTCTTTGGTGAAAAAAATACGTATTGAGTAGTTTGAACAGTGCTTGCTTTCTTTTTCTTGTCCTGTAACTTACAATACAGAGCAAGCATCTTTTCTATGCCATGGCAAATGGCCATACTCCTTCCTAGGTTAGGATCAGCTTCCACACTATATCCTTAGCACTTTCAATGTCTTGAAATATCTCTAAGATGGTCCTTCAACCCGAGGAACTCTTTTTTTGCTAGCATCACTTCCTCTGAAACCTTCATACTTTTCATCACAACCACTTGGCTCATTTACATCAGTAAGTTCCCCTTCTCTAAGTTCTTCTGGCTGTGTTCTAGAGTTTCGCAACAGCTGACTCTTGAACAACACAGGCATTGGGGCACCGACCGCTGCAGTCAAAAATCCAGGTATAACCTCTGACTCCCCCAAAACGTAATAGCCTACTGTTGACCAGAAGCTTTACTAATAATGTAGTCTACTACAGACTAACACATATTTTGTATGTCGTATACATTATATAACTAGAGAACAGGAAATGTTATGAAGAAAATCATAAGGGGGCACCTGGGTGGCACGGGGAGCCTGCTTCTCCCTCTCCCCCCTCCTTGTGCTCTCTCTCTCGTTATCTCTCTCTCAAATAAATAAATAAAATCTTTTTTAAAAAATCTTATTGGTTTATATGACATCCAGCAGTGTCTGTCCTGGGTAAGCAAATGCTCAAGTCCTATTATCCCCCGCAGCAGCTCCTGTATGTCTCCTGATTTGGGGTTAGCTGTAGGCCCTGAAATCTCAGTTTTCTGTTGCATTCAAGAGAAGTCACGGGTTTGCAATTTGTCCAGCTTTTTTCTTGTTGTAAGGATGGGAGCTCTACGGTCTGCATCTCTCAGGTGAAACCAGAAGGCTGTTTATCATTTTTCAAGTGTACTTATATCTTATATTCAGCCCTTTCCCACAAAGATTAGGTATTTGAAATACTGAAAAACCATGTCAAGCAAATTACAACGCACTAAGTAACAATTCGCTGAACGTTTCATTAATCAGATAAACATAGAGAGATGGGAAATTCCTATAGTATTAGTATCTAATCAAGGATTCTGATCAGTTTGATAGAACTGATTTTCTTACCTGACTTGCTATAATTCCAATGAAAGAAAGAACTTGTTTTCATAAACTTATATGTTCTTGTAACACATAAATACTTGATGCCCATTTGGCCTTTTGAGGTAGAGGAAAATGCTCAAACCTGCATCACACCTTTGCCCTTATGTCACTGGCCCGATCAGGCCCTCTATACCAGCGGAGGAGACTGAGAACACAGCAGGTGCTTAAGTGACCTACTCCCCTAAAGATGTCCTCTTTTACAGAAACCCAACTCTAATTAGGATTTTCCAAACACTACCTGAATTATAGAAATTGAAGAGATACTGCTATGAAACTAAATAACATGATTCAGAGAGATAAGCACCCTTGACAGGCAGTTTCCCTGGCTGAACTCATCAAAAAAGGGCTTAGATATCCTAGGGTATCACTGTTAAGGTGGCCCTATGAAAAAAAGACATTGTTACAGAAATATCTACCATCTTGCTTACAAATATTAATATGTACGTCAAATCATAACGCCAATTATACTATACAAAGGGCACTGATAGGTAAGCTTCCAAAATAGTCGATGTGGGTTTTTTTTTTTTTTTTTTAACACATATACTTCAACATTTCAAATGTGAATGACTGTTTATCATAATTACATCATCCCATCCTTTAGGTATATATTACCACAGCAAATCCAGCCTGTTCCTCAACACCTAGCTTCCTTCCCCCCAGCATCCGCTGAGAGGGATAGTGGGTCTTTTGAGCCTGACCACACAGCTTTTCTCTTCCCTTTGGGGCCGTATCCAGGTATTGGATACACTGCACACCAGAATAGGCCTTTAATTTGAGCCAGGGTCACCATGCCAGTCCCGGGCTTCTGTGCCCTCAGATCCATTTTCTGCCCTTTCGTGCTCTGCTACATTGGCAGGGGACAGGGTGGGGAGGGAAGGGGTAACCCGAGTAAACTGCAGTTCCAGGCCCCCTTCGAGGTGGCTTCCAGTGAGATTTGTCCAATGGGCAGCACGGTGAGAGACTGGAGTGGGAGAGGACAGACGCCAGGGTATCTCCATCTCTTTGCTGCAGGAGCACATGCTTGGGCTCTCTCCCTCTCTCCTTCTGTCCCCTCGGTCCCTCCCCCCTCTCAAGTAATGGCCATGTGATCTCCATGGCTGAAGCTGCCACCAGTTAGCCCTCTCTCCGGGTCCCCTGTCTCACCAGGCAGCAGTTCCCATCCCTGCCAGGCGACCTCATTCCTGGGCTCTTGTAATGCTACCTTCTCCCTGTGTCAGCCCTAGGGGTGACAGTGGCTGCCTGCTGTCGCTGAGCCCCAGATTGCTTCAGTGCGCCCTGTTTGGCTTTTCAGGTCTTCCAATGCCTTGGTTCACAGATGCCCCCTACTGAACTACTTGCCTCTTTTTTCCTGGGTGGGCGGGGAAGACTTCATTTGCCATCAGAGCTCCACCCTTTACCAGATTTCCCCACAATGGATCAAAATCACTACAGATGACCATCCTGACGGTGTCTCTCTTCAGTGCCATCACAAACACTCCACAGAACACTGCCACTGAAAGGAGACTATTCGCTCATTCATACCACTGAAGAGCATCACTCGGACTCATTCACAGCGTACTCTGCTAATGAATGCAACTGTTTCTTTCCCCCGTTCTCTCAACAGCAAAAATGTACAGAAGCCAACATATTCCTAGACTAGGACAGTTCATGGTAGACTTGTTGTAAATGTGTGTCTGTGTGTATACAAACACATGTAACTGCATAGACACACAGACACACATATAAAGTCCACAGTGCAAAAAGATAAATACCAAAAGACAGAGTGTATGTGAATGGGGGTTACAATGACCAAAAAACAAAACAAAACAAAACAAAAAACAAAGACCAAAACTCCTTTATGAAATGAAGGCTTCCACTTCCAGACAAGACAGAGAAACAGGGACTGGATTTATCGTCATGCCTGAAACAAAAACAAAGAAATACATGAGATGATGGCTTTCAAGACACCAGACATCAGGCAATGAAGAACTGATCCCCGAGAGAGGGGGAAAAATGGGGTGAGTGCTATGACTGCTTCAGCTTACTGCCTTAAGAGAGTTTCTAAGCCACAAAACAGGGAGGGGAAATTGGGACAAAGTCTAGCCAACTCCCTAAACTGACAAAGCTGAGAGTCTACATACAAAGGCAGCTAGAGTTCATGGGACAGAGGACCAGCAAGGAGACCTAAATAGAGAATCCTGAAGATCCACAGAGGGTCTCTCCCTCAGGTATTCAGGAGAGATCAGCATATGCAGATGAGGAGAAAGAACAATCTGAAAGGATTAGGGAGAATGATACCTGGCTACAGGGACAGTACCTGTCCTCACTAGCCAGAATGGAAAAACTCACAATTCACAGGACATTTGGGTAGAATAACCAGGATGGTCTTGCCTCGGTCGTGGGAATAACCAACCAGCACTGCTCCAGACCTACCTAACAAATCATGAAAGCAAGACTCCGAAGGATCAAAGTATTTTTTTTTTAAAGATTATTTATTTGAGAGAGAGAGAGAGAGACAGCGAGAGAGGGAACAGAAGCAGGGGGAGTGAGAGAGGGAGAAGCAGGCTTCCCGCCCAGCAGGGAGCCCGATGCGGGGCTCGATCCCAGGACCCCGAGATCACGACCCGAGCCGAAGGCAGTTGCTCAACCAACTGAGCCACCCGGGCGCCCCGGATCAAAGTATTTTCAAGTTAAGTTAACTGCATCTAGGAACAAAGTGCAAGATGATTTTTAGGAATACAAACACGTCCAGCATCTAACAAGGTAAAATTTACAGTGTCTGGCATCCAGCTAAAGATTAGCAGACATACAAAGAGGCAGGAAAATGCAACCCATAATTGGGAGGATAATCAATCAATCAAGTGAAACTGACCCAAATTTTAGAAGTAGCAGGTAAGGAAGGGCATTAGAACGATTATTGTAACATATTCCATAGGTTCAAAAAGTTAAGCAGAGATATGGAAGAACTTCTGAGCATAAAAACTATGTCTAAGATGAACAATATGGTGGATGGGGGGGTGCCTGGGTGGCACAGTTAAGCCTCGACTCTTGGTTTCAGCTCAGGTCATGATCTCAGGGTCGTGAGATCGAGCCCCGCCTCGGGCTCCGCACTCAAGGCCAAATCTGCTTAAGACTCTCTCTCCCTCTGCCTCTCCCCCCTCAAATAAATAAATAAATCTTTTTAAAAAAATACATTGGATGCGATTAATGGCAGATTAGATTATTACAGGAAAAAAAAAAAGATGAGTTAAGTCCATGGCAAAAGAACCATCCAAAATGAAACTCATGGAAAAAAATAATCTGAAAATATGAAAAGGCACCAGTGAGCTGTGTAACAACTTAGAAGTGGTCTAATATACAGGTAACTGGAGCCCCTGAAGGGGAAAAGGATAGGGAAAAAAATTTGAAGAAATAACGGCCAAAATTTTTACAAACTAAATGAAAACTATAAAAATATGCACCCCAAAAACCAAATGACTCCTAAGCGCATGAAACACAAAGAAAACTACACCAAGGTAAGTTATAATCAAATTGCTCAAAACCAGTGATAAACAGAAAATCTTAAAAGTAACCAGAGGAGAAAGACGTGTTACATACACAGGAACAAAGACAAAGCTGACATCACATTTCTCATCAGGAACAATATAAGCAAAAAGATGATGGAGCAGGAAATGGAGACAGGAGAAAAAAAAACAAACAAAAAAATGAATCTAGAATTCTCTACCCAGCAAAAACATCTTTCAAAATGAAGGTGAGGGGCGCCTGGGTGGCTCAGTTGGTTAAGCGACTGCCTTCAGCTCAGGTCATGATCCTGGAGTCCCTGGATCGAGTCCCGCATCGGGCTCCCTGCTCGGCAGGGAGTCTGCTTCGTCCTCTGACCCTATCCCCTCTCATGTGTTCTCTCTCTCAAATAAATAAAATCTTTAAAAAAAAAAAATGAAGGTGAAATAAAGACATTTACACATACATCCACACACAAAAATAAAAGTAATAAATCTAAAAAACTAATGATTTTAAAAATAAAAGAGTGTGGACGAAGCTAAAGAAACCTCAGGAACACAAAAAGCTACAGTCACTTGACACCACATGTTATTATGCAGGAAAAGGTTAACATGATAGGCCTGATGCTGTGATCTCTAGGAGGGCCAGCTTGCATGATTGATCCTTGCAATAGCCCGTTTGAACTTGGTGTGTAGAATACTCCCGACGTCAATTGATAAGGTTGTTTTGTGTGCCTAGGACACTGAATTCTGCCATACCAGCCCGGCTAAGTTGTTTTTGCAAATGTGATTTATGGCAAACACCCGCTTTCCTTCTGGGAGTCAGAAATTTCAGTAAGAGTCCTGATCAGCCCTTACTAAAAAAAGTCGGAGTCTTAAACAAGCTTCCCCAGGCAGAAACGCGGTGCATGTGCAGCTGTATTTAACTGCTGGAGGAGGAAGCTTGTTCTGTGAAACCCTACCCCGAATCCTCTAAGAGAAAACTTTGGAAGCCCACATCTAGAGTCTTCCAGACTCCATCCAATACATCTTTTTCCCTTGCTTATCCTGCCATTTATTCTTTCACTAATAAATCATAGCTCTGACTATATATATCTCTGAATCCCATGAGTCTTTCTAGCAAATCACCAAATGTGTGGGCAGTCATCGGATGCCCAAGCAGTTACCAAATATAAATGGTACTTTAAATTTTAACTCTTTCTTCAAACCCTTTCTCTGGACCTGTACTGCCTATTCTTTGGCCTCCTCTAGAATCCCAAGCAGTGTCTTATCCATTGTAGTCATGAACATCCGCATCAGGTCCGCAAAACAGCCCCGTACATCACACTCGAGTTTCAAGTGGAACTCAGAGCCTGGTGTAAAAGTTACAATTAGATTCAGCAGCAAATAACAAACACCTATTTCTCTCTCACTTGTAAGGTGTCTGGAAGTATTCAGTCCAAGTCTAGCATGGCAGCTCTACACTCTCAGAGATCCCAGCTCCACCTATCTTACTGTATTGCTAGAAGTGTCTTCCATTCCCAAAGTTACCTCTGGATCCAATACGGCTGCTGGAGCTCTAGCCATAATATTCACATTCAAGAAAACAGAAGGTGTGGCAGAAGAAGGGTACATTCTCTTCCTTTTATAGATACTTTTCACAAATCCCACACAGCACTTCCAGTCTTCAGCCAGAAGTTGGTCATATGACCACACCTAGCTATGAGAGAGGCCAGGAAATATAGCGCTTTCATTGCATAGAAATATGCTGGGCTAAAACTCATGGTCCTGTTAGAAAGATGAAAGGGAGAGTGATTATTGGGAGGTACCTGGAGTCTCTGCTACACTTAGTTTTCCACTCAACACAAAGTTATCTGTGAATCAACTTTTTTAATAACCCAAGGCAGTTTGAGATAAATGTGTCTTTACCCAAAATGTGTTTTAGAGGTAGCTGGGGGGTGGGTAAAGAAGAGATTTGTTGAGTATAAACTTAAACTCTATGTATGATCACTTACACCCTAATTAGAATTTTCTCTTTCTGGCTTCTTAGCAAAAGCATGTGATAGGAGCCCACAATAAAATTTAAAGGACTACTTCAGGACTTTTACTCTCTTAGTAACATGATACACAAATTTAACAAAACACAAGACTTAACACTGTTTTTCCCCCAGAGATCACAGTGTCTCTGAAAATATACAGAATCTAATTTCTTAGAAGCACAGTGTGGTGAGGAATGTCAGCAAAATGATGGCGTAGGTAGCCACAAACTCTGGTTCCTCACAGAAACATCAAAAAATAAGCAGAAACTGTCAGAACCAACTTTTCCAGAATTCTGGAAAAAACCCAAAGGTTTACAGCAACCAAGCAAAATCTCCTTCCCGAGAAGGCTGAGATACTGGACATAATAGATAAAAACTTTAAATCAACTATCTGAAATATGCTTAAAGAGCTACAGGAAACCATGAACAATGAAATAAAGGAAACCAGAAAAATGATGTAGAAACAAAATGAGAATACAATAAGGAGACAGAAATTATAAAAAGGAAGCATTAGAATTCTGGAGCTGAAAAGTACAATAATTGAAATAAAAAACTGACTAGAGGGGCTCAATGGCATATTTGAGCAGGCAGAAGACAGAATTAGCAAATGTGAAGATAGGACAATTGCAATTATCAAGTCTGAGGAGCAGAAAGTAAAAATAATGAAGAAAAGTGAACACAGCCTAAGGGACCTGTGGGACACCAACAAGAGGACCAATAATGCATTATGGGAGTCCCAGAAGAAGAGATCGAGAAAGGATTGGAAAGAATATTTGAAGAAATAATGCCTGAAAACTCCCCAAATTTGATAAAAATGCATTAATCTACACATTCAAGAAGCTCAACGATCTCCAAGCAGGATAAACTCAAAAGATGCACACTGAGACACACTATAATGGAACTGTTGAAAGGTAAAGACGAAGAGAATCTTGAAAGAAGCAAAGAGAAGTGACTTGTCACATACAAGGGATCCTCAAGAAAATGAAATCTGATTTCTCAGCAGAAACCTTGGAGGTTAGAAGGAAAGTGAAATAACGTATTTAAACTGTTGGAAAAAAAAATTGTCAACCAAGAATTTTGTACCTGGTAAAAAGCTATTTTTCTAGAATGAAGGAGAAATTAAGACATTTTCAGATAAACAAAAGCTAATGGAGTTCCTTATGAGTAGACCTGACCTATAAGAAATGCTTAAGGAGTACTTCAGGCTGACATGAATGGACACCAGACAGTAACTCGAAGCCATATGAAAAAATAAAGAACACTGGTAAAGAACACAAGTAAATGTAAAAAACTTTTGGTTTGTAACTCTTCTTTTTTTATATGATTAAAAAGGCAATTTCAGATAATAATTATAAATCTATGTTAACGGACAATGTATAAATATGTAATTTTGACAATAACAATATTATTCCTTTCCCTAAAGGAAGAGAGATGTATAGGAGCAGAGTGTGTATACTACTGAAACTAAGTCGGTACTATTCAAAATACATTACTAAAAGTTTAACATGTTAAGGGAAATCTCCAAGATAACCAGCAAGAAAATAACAATATACAGAAAAGTAAAGAAGAGGATCAAAACCATACACTATAAAAAATCAACTAAATACAAAAAAGGCAGTAATGGAGAAACTGAGGAACAAAAACCACGTAAGACATATAGAAAGTAAATAGCAACATGGCAGAAGTGAGTCCAGCCTTATTAGTAATTACTTTAAATGTTAACAAATTAAGCTTTACAATTAAAAGTCAGAGATTGACAGAATGGGTAAAAACACAAGAACCATCTACATGCTGTCTACAAGAGAATCACTTTAAATACAAAGACACAAAGAGGTTAAAAGTAAAAAGATGGTTAAAAAAATAGCCTATGCAAATAGCAACCACAAGGGAAGTGGGGTGGCTATATTACCTGACAAAATAGATTTTAAGTTAAAAAAGTATTACAATGGACAAAGAAAGATACATATTGATAAAAATGTTCAATCCATCAAGAAGGTACAGCAATTATAAACATATACATACCTAAAAATGGACCCCTGAAATATACGAAGCAAAATCTGACAGAACTAAAGGAAGAAATAGTTCTACAATAATAGGTGGAGGGGCGCCTGGGTGGCTCAGTCATTGAGCGTCTGCCTTTGGCTCGGGTCATGATCCTCAGGGTCCTGGGATCGAGCCCCGCATCGGGCTCCCTGCTCAGCAGGAAGCCTGCTTCTCCCTCTCCTACTCCCCCTGCTTGTGTTCCTGCTCTCGCTATCTCTCTCTCTCTGTCAAATAAATAAAATCTTTAAAAAAAATAATAGGTGGAAACTTCAATAACTATCAATAATATATAGAAAAACCAGACAGAAAATCAATAAAGAACTAGAGGACTTGAAGAATACTATAAACCACTGGACCAAACAGACACATACAGAGCACTCTGCCCACCAAGAGCAGAGTACACATTCTTCTCAAGTACATATGTAACATTCTCCAGGACAGACCATAACTTAGGTCACAAAACAAGTCCTAATAAATTTAAAGAGACTAAAAATATACAAAGTGTCTTTTCCAATCACAATGGGATGAACTAGAAATCAGTAACAGAAGGAAAACTGGAAAACTCACAAATGTGTGGAAATTAAACAATGCACTCTTAACCAATAAGTCAAAGAAGAAATAATAAAGGAAATTAGAAAATAATTTGGGAAAAATGAAAACAACATAATGTACCAAAAGTTATCAGATGCAGCAAAAACAGTGCTCAGAGAGAAATTCTTAGCTGTAAGTGTCTACATTAAAAAAGAAGAAAAGATCTCAAATCAGTAACTTAACTGTATACCTGAAGGGACCTAAAAAAAAAAAAAAGAAGAGCAAATCAAACCCAAAGCTAGAATAAGGAAGGAAATGAAAAGATTAGAGAGGAGATAAATAAAGTAAAGAACAGAAGAAAAAAATCAAGAAAACCAAAAGTTGATTCTTTGAAAAGATCAACAAAACTGACAAACTGTAGCTAGGGTAACTAAGAAAAAAAGAAAGAAGACTCAAATTACTAACATCAGAAATGAAAAAGGGGACATTACTATCAACTTTACAGAAGTTAAAAAGATTATAAGAGAATACTATGAATAACTGTACACCAACAAATTGGGGAACGTGGGTGAAATTCACACATTCCTACAAACGCACAAACTATCAAAACTGACTCAAGGAGAAACAGAAATTCCAAATAGACCTATAACAATAAGGAGAGTGAATCAGTAATCAAAAACTTCCCAACAGAGAAAAGCCCAGGACCACATAGCTTTATTGGTTAATTTTACCAAACATTTAAAGAACTAACAACAATCCTTCTCATACTCTTCCAAAAAATTGAAGCAGAGCGAATACTTCCTGACTCTATAAAGCCAGCATTACCCTGATATCAAGGCCAAATACACGACAAGAACAGAAAACTACAGACCAATAGTCCTTATAAATACAGATGCAAAAATCCTCCACAAAATACTGGCTAACCAGATTCAGCAGCACTTTAAAAGCATTATACACCATGATCAAATGTAATTTATCCCAGGAATGCAAGGTGGCTCAATATATGAAGGTCAATCAGTGTAATATACCACATCAACAGAATGAAGAAAAAAACCCACATAATCACCTCAATTGATGTAGAAAAAGCATTTGACAAAAAGAATACCTTGTCATGATAAAAAAAAAAAAAACAAAACAAAACAGTAAACTAGATATAAAAAGGAACTTCCTCAGGGATGCCTGGGTGGCTCAGTCTGTTGAGCATCTGCCTTTGGCTTGGGTCATGATCCTGGGGTCCTGGGATTGAGTCCCGCCTTGGGCTCCTTGCTCAGTGGGGAGCCTGCTTCTCCCTCTGCCTGCCCCTCCCCCAGCTTGTGCACACGCACGCATGCTCTCTCTGACAAATAAATAAAATCTTTTAAAAAAAGGAACTTGCTCAAAGTGATAAAGGCCATATGTGAAAAAAACCACATCTGACATCATACTCAATGGTGAAAACCTGAAACCTTTTCCCCTAAGATCAGGATGAAGACAAGGATGCCCACTTTCATCACTTTGCTATTCAACACAGGACTGGAAGTTCTAACCAGAACAATTAAGCAAGAAAGGGAAATAAAAGGCATCCAAATTAGAAAGGAAGAAGTAAAACTATCTCCATTTGCAGATGACATGATCTTATACATATAAAACTCTAAAGAATCCAAAAAACTGTTAGAGAAAATAAACAAATTCAACAAAGTTGCAGGATACAAAATCAACACCAAAAAAATCAGTCATATTTCTATACACTAGCAATGAACAATCTGAAAAGGAACTTAAGAAAACAATTTCATTTACAATAGCATAAAAAGGAATAAAATATTTGAAAATAAATTTAACCAAGGAGGTGCAAGAGTTGTACACTGAACTACAAAACATTGCTGAAAGAAATTAAAGACCTAAATAAATGAAAAGATATCCATGTTCATGGACTGGAAGACTTGAAATCATTAAGATGACAATACTACCCAAAGCAATATATAGACTCAATGCAATCCCTATCAAAATCTCAATGGCAGGGTGCCTGGGTGGCTCAGTCAGTTAATCGTCTGCCATTGGCTCAGGTCATGATCCCGGAGTCCCAGGATTGAGTCCCACATGGGGCTCCCTGCTCAGCTTCTCCCTCTTCCCTTCACCCTGCTTGTGCTCTCTCTCTCTCTCTCTCTCTCTCTCTCTCACTTTCTCTGTCTCTCTCAAATAAATACAATCTTTTAAAAAAATCTCAATGGCAGAAATGAAAAAACTCATCCTAAAACTTTTATTGAAAATTAAGGAACTTCAAAGAGCCAAAATAATCCTGAAAAAGAGCAAAGTTGGAGGACTCACACTTCCTAATTTCAAAACTTGCTACAAAGCTACAATAATCAAAACGGTGTGATACTAGTATAAGGATAGACATAAAGACCAATGGAATAGAATTGAGAGCCTAGAAATGTGCCTTCCTATCTATGGTCTACTGATTTTTGACAAGGGTGCCAAAACCATTCAATGAGGAAGGGACAGTTTCTTCAACAAATGGTGCTGGTATAACTGAACATCCACATACAAAAAAAAATAATAAATTTGGACCCTTACCTTATACCATATATAAAAAATTAATAGAGACCAAAAACCCAAATTTAAGAGCTAAAACTATAAAGTTCTTCAAAGAAAACACAAAGAAAAAACTTTATGGCATTGGATTTGACAAAGATTTCTTGGATAGGATACCAAAAGCATAGGCAACAAAAGAAAAAAAAATAAAGTGAACTTCATCAAAATTAAAGCCCTTTGTGCATCAAAGGACGCTATTATAGAGTAAAAAGGCAACATGAACTAGGAGAAAGTATTTACAAATCATATATCTAATAAGAGAGTAACATCCAGAATACATAAAGAACTCCTACAACTCAACAACAAGAGACAACCCAATTTAAAAATGGGCAGACGACCTGAATGAACATTTCTCCAAAGAAGATGTACAAACAGCCAATAAGCACATGAAAAGATGCTCCACATCATTAGTCAATAGGAATGAAAACCAAAACCATAATGAGTTACCACTTCACAAGTACTAGGATGAATACAAAAAACAACAACAGAAAATAACAAGTATTGGAGGGGATGTGGAGAGACTGGAACTCTTGTGGTGGGAATGTAAAATACTGCAGCTGCTGTGGAAAAGAATTTGGCAGTTCCTGAGAAAGTTAAACAGAGAATCACCATATGACCCAGCAATTTTACTCCCAGGTATATACGCAAAAGAATTGAAAACAGGGGCCCAAACAGATACTTGTGTATCACGGCAGCATTATTCATAATAGCCAAAAGGTGGAAACAACCCAAGTGTCCAGGAACTGATAAATGGATAAATAAAATGCAGAATGGAATATTACTCAGCCATAGAAAGGAATGAAGTTCACATACATGCGATGACACGGATGAACCTTGAAAATGTTGTGCCAAGTGAAAGAGTCAGATTCAAGTAAGTCAGGACTCAAAGTGTATGAATACACTTATATGAAATATCTAGAGTAGGCAAATTTGTAGAGACAGAAAGTAGATTAGAGGGTATCAGGGAGTGGGGGGAGGAAGGAATGGGGCATTACTGTTTTAATGGGTACAGAGTTTGAGGTGATAAAAAATTTTTTTTGGAAATAGTGGTGTGATGGTCACACAATTTTACAAATGCCATTAATGCTAGTGAATTGTACAGTTAAAAATGGTAAAAATGGAAAATTTTGCTACATTATTTTGTCACAATAAAAAAATTTAAAAACCACCATGTGGCTTATCAGCTAAATACACAATTTTTTGCAAACGTATACTCACTTATCCCTTCGTTCTCCTTCCTGAAACAGCTTGCTGTGATTCAGGCAGATGTTTTCACACATACAGTTTTCCTTCTCAGAAACTTCACAGCCAGCGTGAATCTGAGGCATGAGAACTTGAAGGAAGGATCTTTAATGCTAAGCAGTGTTACCAGCACCTTATTTTTGTTAGACAAAATAGAATCCATTAAGCAAATATTTCCATGGCACCTACTATGTGTCTGGCACTATTCTAGAGACAGAAGAGAGCAGTAAACAAAAGATGGATATGCCTGCCTACACTGCCATTCAGGCTGATGTTCTCATGGATTTCGGAAGCACTCTCGACATCGAGACAATGACATGCCTGGGAGAACCAGCTTAGGAAGAGCAGGGAAACCTGGGAGCTCAACAGGCCAAGCTCCACCTGCCTCCCCACCTCTGCGATAGTGACGTCTAGAGATTAGAAAGCTTTTAAGCACCTGCTCCCACCTGAGAAGGCCTGGCACAGCCACTCTGAACATCCTTTGATGGTTTCTCTGGGTTTTCCCCGGTAACAACTGGTAGCCTTCTGCCATATTGTCTTGGTCAGGCCAGCTCTAACAAAGTACCAGAGACTGGGTGGTTTATACACCACAGACATTTCTTTTTCTCACAGTTCTGGAGGCTGAAAGTGCAAGATCAGGGTAGGAGAATGATCAGGTCTAGGGAAGTTCTCCTTCTGGGATGCAGATTGCTGACTTCTCATTGCATACACACTTGGTGGAAAGAGAGCTCTCTGGGTCTCTTCTATCAGGGCACGAATCTCATTCATGAGGGCTCCATCTTCATGACATCATTACTTCCCAAAGGCCATAGCTCCTAATACTATCACACTAGGGCTTAGGATTTCAATATATGAATTAGGGGAGGCCCAACCAATCAGTGCATAACACCTTTGGGATGAAAACAAACAGGTATTTTGGCTCTACTTGGATCCAAGGGCCCGAGGCCAATGTAGCGTAGGAAAATCCAGTCTTCCAAATTGGCCAGCCTCACTCCTTGCAGTGGTACATTGGAGTTTGGAGCCAAAGCCCCAGCAAATAATAAAAAGGAACACTTTGCTTTATCTTATACTCTGGGCATAGATTTCCCTCGGAGACCCCCTGGAACCAGGTCATAGGGGCAGGATCCAGATTCTGCGCTCTCCTGGCCAAACACATCCTGAACCATATTGATCTCATCCTTTAGCAGACTCCCACTTACCAATCTCAGACATATGGCCTAAATAAATGTGCTGCTAAACCTAACTTTCAATTTCTTCATTTGGCAAAATGGGACCAACAATACAGTCTTCATGTATTTGATGTGAAGGTTAAATGGCTTGAAGTATGCAAAATACTTAACACTGTGCCTGGCTATCATAGCAGGTACTCAAAAAACAGTTGCTATTTTTCTACAATTATTTAATTACAAGCAACATGGTGAATATATTTAAAGGGTGAAAACAAATACTCTACAGCAATGAGTTTCAAATTTCAACTTAAAAAACAAAAACACCACAACCCTACTAGGGGCACCCGGGTGGCTCAGTCGGTTAAGCACCTGACTCTTGATTTCGGCTCGGGTCATGATCTCAGGATTGTGAGATCAGTCCCCACCTCGGGCTCCGTGCTCAGCACAGAGTCTGCTACATATTCCCTCTGGAGCACTCCCTTTGCCCCTCCCCCTGCTCATACTCGCTCTAAATAAATAAATAAATAAAATCTTTAAAAAAAACAAAAAACAAAAAAACCTGCTAATGTACTGAAACACAGATTTGTGAGTCCCACTCTGAGATACTTAAGTCTGGGGCCAGACCCGCTAGTTCTAACAAGCTCCTGGGTGATGCCGACAAGTGTATCGAAACAACTTCACAAACTCCAGATGAATATACTGTCCTCAAACTGGATTACTTACAAAATTTAGTTTCTCATCAAAAACAACAAAACCGCATGCAAATCCCACAACTTCTCTTTTCTGGATTATGTGTGACAAAGGATTCATCAAATACTGCATCAGAGATTGGCTTAGCTGCTCTCCAAACCTGTTCCTCTTGCCTCCAGCTAGACTATATCTCCCTGCCTCCAGTCCAGTTAGATGTGGCCTCATGACCAAGTTCTGTCCAACAGAAGCAGGCAAAGCAATGTGCAACACTTTTAGGCTTAGCACAAACTCTTCCCCATGTGATCCTCTTTTCCTTTCCTCATTCACTGGCTGGGGAGGGAGGGTTCCAAGGCCCTAAGGGATGTGGAAGCCACAGGATGGAAGGCACCTGGTCCCTGAGTGAGCACATGGAGAACCACCTGCCAGTCTCTTGCACTGGCCCATGACATGAGATACAAATGAACTTTTCTTATGTTAGGCCACTGAAATTTGGGGCTGGTCTGTTTTAACAGCCAGCATTACCTTAATACAAACATCCACACTGATGAAAAGCCAAGTAGCATGCTTTAACCAAAAGAGAAAAGCCTCCTAACACCTATTCTCTTGCAAGTGGAATAGAGGCAATTTTTCAAAAGATATGTGAGCTTTAAAATCAAACCAAAAAATTAAAATTAAGAAGGCGTTACTGATTCTCAAGTCATGAAAGCCTCACATCAGCTCCTATAAACTAATGTCAAACAGCATTACTCAATGTCAGCATTTAAGGAGAGTAACAGGTTGTATACAACCTCACCTGTACGTCCTTTCAGGGAGGAAGTTTAACAGGTTACCAGCTAACAGGTTAACAGGGAGGTTAACATCTTCCCCAATCTTCTATATAAATAAAAATTTCAAAACATACGAAAAAGTTGAAAGATGAATAAAGAGCACACCCTTTCACCCACCACCTAGATATACATGGTATGTGTATTTTTTTTTTTTGACTGAACTTTTTGAAAGTAAGCTGCATGCGTTAGGACTCATACATTTGACCCCTGAATACTTTAGCTTACAACTCCAATTAATATGTACATTCTCCTGTATAACCTCAATTATCTCACCTAAGAAAAATAACAGTAATTCCCTGATGTCATCTAACATCAAGCCGGTATTCAAACATCCCTGATTGTCCCCAAAACATTTTATAGCTTATTTCCATGAACCAGGAACCAGTCAAGTTTCCTGTGCTATGACTGCGTATCCTTCTTTGGTCTCCATTAGCTTAGAACACTGGCTTAGTCTGCTCAGGCTGCTAGAACAAAATACCGTAGACTGGGTGGTTTAAACAACCAACATTTATTTCTCACGGTTTTGGAGGCTGGGAAGTTCAAGATCAAGGTGCTGGCAGATTCAGTGTCTGATTAGAGCCCTCTTCCTAGCTTTGTGGATGGCTGCCTTCTCCCTGTATCCTCACATGATAGAGAGACAGGGAGCTTTGGTCTCTTCCTCTTCTTAGAGGGGCACTAATCCCATCATAGAGGCTCTACCCTCGTGAGCTCATCTAAACCTAATTACCTCCCCCAAACCCCACTTCCAAATAGCATCACCTTAGAGATTAGGACTTCAACAAATGAATCTTGGGAGGTACAATTCAGTCCATAACAGACACTTAACCTGTCTTTTTGTTTCCCTTGACATAGACTTCTTGAAGAAAACAGGAGGATGGTCTTGTAGGTTACCCTGTGTTTGGGATGTCTAATTGTTTGCACATGGTATTTGATAGCTTGTTTCTCTATCCCCTGTATCTCCTGTAAACTGGAAGATGTGCCTAAAACCTCAATTCAATTCAAATAAAACATTTGGAGGATGAATACTACATAGGTGAAGCCATATGCTTCCTACCGCATCTCAGCAGGAGGCATGTACTACTAGATAGTTAGTTCCACAAGGATCAAGGATAAATTTGAGGACTTGGATATAAGATGGTGACTGCTGGACCTCTCCACCATAAAGATACTTTCTTTCCTCTGCGAGAGGCAAGCGATCTGTGGTGCGATCCTTGGCACCGTTTAAGTACCATGTACCCCAACAACCTCTCACCTACGGCTTTGGAATTCATTGAAAATCCTTGTCTCCATCACTGAGGGTTGTGAAATGGTGATTTTCGAATTACATCATTCCAAAAAGGTTACCTTCAGAAAGTTCTAAGAAACACTTTCAGGAAATGTCACTTTCTCATTTTAAGATTCATTTTACTTCCATTTATTACTTTTAAATAACTGCAAGTTTTCTTTATGCCTAGACAGTCCTTTAAAAAGAACATCTTAATATCCAAGGAAAATGCTAACACCTGTGTTCTCTTAGTTTTAATGTATTTTTTGCTACATGAAAGTTGCTTTATTTTTCAACAAAGTTTCCATTGCGAAAGTAATGTGTCAGTGTCATAGAAATTTCAAGCCATTCAGAAGAGTACAAAGGGAAAAAAGTAACACCTCCCCTCCCACTCTCCCAACAAATGGTTCTACAACAGCAGGATAACCACTGCTAAGTAAGTTTGTATCTGCTTCCAGAGAAGCATAAATCATATATAAATGTGCGCACATGTTTATGTGCATACTTTATATAATTTTTAAAGAATAAATGAGATGATACTATGCAGACTATTCTGCGCCTTGTTGTTTCTCCCCACAACGGCGTGTGTGGGTGGCTGCACAACACCTCTTTTTTACCAGCTGCATAGTATTCCTTGGCAGGAATGTGCTGTAACTTAACCAGTCCCTTCTTGAGTACTGCCCCTTGGTTCTGGGACAACAAATATTGCCATCTATGTAACGTGCTAGTGTAAGTATTTTTGAAGGACACAGTCCAAGAATTGAGACTGCTGCCTAAAAGAGTAGGGTAGGGGGGCGCCTGGGTGGCTCAGTTGTTAAGCGTCTGCCTTCAGCTCAGGTCATGGTCCCAGGGTCCTGGGATCAAGCCCTGCATCGGGCTCCCTGCTCGGCGGGAGGCCTGCTTCTCCCTCTCCCACTCCCCCTGCTTGTGTTCCCTCTCTCGCTGTGTCTCTCTCTGTCAAATAAATAAAATCTTTAAAAAAATAAAAAAATTTAAAAAATAAATAAAAGAGTAGGGTAGGTATGTTGTAAATTTTTTCTCGGTATTAACAAATAGCCCAACCCCCCCCCCCAAAAAAAGTCAGTGCCGCTCATCCCCACTAACTGAATGCTGATGCATTTTTAAATTACAGCAGACCTTTACTGAATGAGCCTCGAGTAGCCAAGCTGGCCAAAGAATCACAACGTCTAAAGTGAGAATGAGAACTAGTACTTACCAAGTGTTTATCAGCCACTGCACTTGAGCTTTACAACGTCTCAACAATACACTAATCCTGTGAGGTGAGTGACACTGTCCCCGTTTTTTGAAAAGAGGAAAGCGGGACTCTGAGAGCTTACCCAATGTTATGCAGCTTTGTAAGTAACAGAGCCAGCATCTGAACCCAAGGGATGTGGTGCCAAAGCGAGCTGCCCCAAACTGGGGCCAAAGTGAGGGGCTCTTAAAAAAACAAAAAAGAGGGCACCTGGGTGGCTCAGTTGGTTAAGCGACTGCCTTCGGCTCAGGTCATGATCCTGGAGTCCCGAGATCGAGTCCCGCATCCGGCTCCCTACTCGGCGGGGAGTCTGCTTCTCCCTCTGACCCTCCCCCGTCTCATGTGCTTGCTCTCATTCTCTCTCTCTCAAAATAAATAAATAAAATCTTAAAAAAAAAAAAAAAAAAAACACAGTACGGGGAAAGTGGGACTAGCGCGCACACGAGAGAGAACCAGAGTGAACTGACACAGTCTGTTGATACCACCTTTCCCTGCCTCCGACACTTGCTATTTCTGCTGCACAGATTTGCCGGGCCCAGGAACTTTCGGAGGGCACTTAGTCACGTACAGGGGCAGACAGCTGAGAGCTCCCTGCCCTGACAAAACAAGTTGCCAGGTGAGCTCCCGGTCCACTGCTGCACGCAGCTCCCATCACAGGGCGCGGGGGGGGGGCGCGCTGCTTTCAACGTCCCTGGAGGAGAGTATGGTCTGTGGTCACCGGCCCTTACAGCTACCTGGGTCTGTTGTCAGGGAGGAGTGCTTGTAACTGTCCCTTGCCATTTAAATGTTGAGCATTCACAGTGTGTCTCTTACTGTCCTTGGGTCCTCTGCATCTAAGCAAGCGCTTAAGATGGGATCTCTCGGTGTGAGTCACTCCTAGTAAAACACCAACTCTTCGCCGGGGATAGTAAAATAAAAAGGACGGAGGGAAAGGAAGGAAAATCTCTTTCCCCTTTCCTGTTTGGTCTCCATTCCAGGCACAGGGCTCCAGAAGTTCCATGGGTACAATCAACAGTTGAAAGGTCACAGAAAATGGATAACGTAATATAGTTTAAAATGGGGGAGAAGTGGGCATCAAACTGGATTTGAGGAGCATCTTAAAATGCCATCACAAATGCCACAGAATGGAGGCGAGGACACACCAAGAGGTAATTCGGCTTCCATAATTCAAAAATCGGAAAGCACAAAAGGGTATATGGTGATGTTTCCCTCCCACCTCATGTCACAGCCCACCTAGTTCCTCTCCAGCAAAAAAAAGCCAATGTTACTAGTCTACTGACTGTCCTTCCAGAGATATTTTATACCAGCAAACTTATATAATCACAATTTATTTTATGGCTATATATAGTTACTTATCATAACTTATTATAAATATTAAAGCTTTCCCTTGGAGATTAAAGTGCCACTTAAATATTTTTAAAGGGGCAGAAATTAACATTTTTTTAAATTTCAAAGAGTTTTGAAACTTGCAGTTGAACTCTTCACTCATAAAAACTTACCAACATTTAAAAATGAAATTGTTTACCTCCAGAAATTAAGTTGGGCACCCGACACCCAGCAGATACTTAACAAATGTTTCCTTAGGTCTTTTTGTCCTTTATTACTCAGAGGCAACAGGACAATTACTCACTTCCTCTACTGATATCAAGAAATGAAATCTGTTTTCTTACTATTATTAACAAAGAGAAGTCCTGAAAATTTGTACTATATTCGCTTAAGTGTTCAAAGATTTTCATACTGAATTTTTAAAAATCAGAATCCCTATCCAGATAGCCCCCAAGAAATAATGAATAATTAGCTAATCAAATGACATTAGAATTCAAATGAAGGGTGTGTGTGCGCTAAAACAGAAGACTAGATATCCAAGAGACAGAGAACTGTTTTCTCACAGTTACAGGCAAAATATTCACATCAAAATATTAATATCTGGCAGAACCTCGGACATTGCATATTGACAAACTAAATTTCTTAGTATATTTCAAAGTAACACTAAAACCGAAAATGACACAGAATGTTATGAGATGATGTTGCCTTTTCTGAACAATCATCAATCAAACCAGATTTCAGTACCACAAAATGACACGGTACACTGCAGCAGGGCCCCAATGACGAAAAAATTGAGATGAGTTTAAAAAGTACATAATCAGCACAGGAAAATTCCACTACTGTTTGTAGGCCTTAAGATAAAGGTGACTGAGTTCCTAAGAACATGGAGTACTCCCTCAGGAAAAAAATATTTTTAAATCCTCATTTTCCATGCGCTCGAACGTGTATTTATGAGCCTGTCCAGTCTACCTTCTAGAAGTATTCCACACTGTGCTTTAATGAAATGGATCTAGAGGCTATAAAAAAAAATATTTTCATGGTGGGGCGCCTGGGTGGCTCAGTTGGTTAAGCGACTGCCTTCGGCTCAGGTCATGATCCTGGAGTCCCTGGATCGAGTCCCGCATCGGGCTTCCTGCTCGGCAGGGAGTCTGCTTCATCCTCTGACCCTATCCCCTCTCAGGTGTTCTCTCTCTCTCATTCTCTCTCTCTCAAATAAATAAATAAAATCTTTAAAAAAATATATATATATATATATATTTTCATGGTTATCTACAGACATAGAAGGGCAATCTTCATTTGCATTCTCTCTCATAGTCAGCCACCTGAAATGACAACATGCTTCAACTCCCCACCCTGCTAGCTGCTCAGTAGGCCTCCTAGCTTACCTGCAGCCTTGGCATGAGTCATTTGTCACCCACTGACACAAACCACAGAGCTCAAGAGTGGCCACGTATCGAGGCCAAAGTTTGAATTCACATCTGTAATTTGCAATAACCAAACTCGGTCTTAGACCTGGTCCTGTTTCAGTGACAGATCTGTTTAGGTCTCTACCTCTTTAAAACTAGAGGAATCCTGACAGCACTTTGTAACCTTGGAGGCCATGAGCCTGGGCTGTCAACCACGGATCAAGAGACCCTAGAAGCAAGGCCCAGGGCCAAGGGTAATTTTCACATTAAAGATTCAGGTTTCTGCTTTCCATCCTTTATCAGGGAACCCTGAATGGAAACTGAATGGAGAGATCCCTCCAGTAAAAGTGATGAAGTAAAACGTTCCCTACTGGGAATAGTCATGAGGTGGGCTCATCTATTTCCCATATGAGGATGCCCACCTGGGCCTTAACTCTGCTGAATTCAATTCAAAAAGAGCATACCTGTTTCCACTTTGGAGTCATAACGGGAGGGGGGGTGTGTGGCGAGAGGGATGATTCAGATTACAGCTAACTGACATCCATGTAATAACGGAAGATTTGTGCTGACCACTCTGCGCGGAACACAGCGTGTGTCATTAAATCCAGAAAAGGAAGGTGGCATCAGCCCACCCTTCACAACAAAAGAACGGCTGACTCCGGAGTTAAAACCACTCACTACTTTTCCTCTTCATCCACTTATAAACGGATCTTCAAAGTCACGTCCATGTTAAAATCTGAAGAACACAAAGGCTCCTCTTCCCTTGGAGAAGCCAAGTACCTGGGTATAACGTCCCACCTGGACAGAAGAGCGGGAGGCGTGCCCATATACCCGACTAGGCCGGATCACGGCGGTGGACCACTCTGGATCCGGGATCACGCTCACCTATCACAGCGCTTCAGGCTCCGACTTTATTAACAGGACACCCGGGAACATAGATCTCAGAAGTGGGCGCTCACCCAGGTTGACCATGGATGTGTGGCATCCATCAGGCCCCGGCCGCCCATACCCAAGCCCAGAAACCCTAAGCCCTCGCCCCCACCCTCACTGTGGCCTGCTTCTTGGGGTGACGGCGTCCCCAGGGTAGTCACCCGCCGCGGCACACAGACCCTGTTGAGCTGAACTAGGGCGGAGGTGGGGGCGGGGGGCGGGTGCGGAAGCGCGATGCGGGGGGCGGGGGGGGCGCAAAACAGAACCCGGCGGACAGAACCAGGCCACCTCTGTGCCTTTCATTTTCCTGGCTCCCCAATTAAGAAACGTCAAAATGGGCTGGAATTCTTTTTAACGGTAAGAGAAAGCCAGAAAATGCAGACAGTTGACCTTGGGAACCAACCCCGTGGCAGCGGGAAACGGAAAAGAAACACGTTGGCAAGTGAAGGGGGAGCGCAGCGCAGAGCGGGGCGGGGTCCGGGGGAGCGCAACGGCCGGGCGGCCGGAGGGGTGTCGGGGTGGTGGGCGCGGTAGGGGGTGCTCACCATAGATCATGGCCAGCCCCGTCTCGTGCAGAAAGCGCACCCGGCGGTGCTTGAAGAGCCAGATGGTGAGGATGGTGAGCGTGAGCAGCAGGATGAAGGTGAGCAGGCTCACGCTGTCTTGCCGGTGGCTCTCCTCCGCCTCCTTCTCCGTGGCGAGCTCCTCCATGGCGCTGCTGTCCTCGGCCGCCGCCCCAGAGGAGGCCGCGGCCGCGGCGCGCAGCCCCCGACCCAGCAGCAGCGGTAGCAGCGGCAGCAGCAGCAGCCGCGGTGGCAGCGCCCGGGCCGCCCGTCCCGGGCCGAGGCGCGCCGCGTCACCAGGCTCCATGGTCCCCAGGGCCGCCCGCGCCTCCTGCGCGCGGGGGACCAGCAGCCCGCGCCGTCGGCGGGTTCCCGCGGCGCCGCCGACCTGCCCGGGTGGCCGCGGCCGCCGCAGCTCCTCCCCCCGCGCGCGCCGGGCCGGGGCTGCGCCGGGAGCCGCGTGGGGGAGGGGCGCGCGCAGTGCGCAGGATCGCCAAGCACCGCCCCCCGCCCGCGCACCTGTTCGGCCCCCAGCCGCGCGGCGCAGTGCGGACCGCGCTCCCGGCCGCCGGGGCCCGCGCGGCGGGGTTCCTCCGACTCAGGGGGAGCGGCCGTCGGCCCCGGGCCTGCCTGCGCTCCTCGCCGGGCCCCGGCGTACCTGGCCGGGCCGTCTGGGGTCGCGGGGCCCGCTTCCTAATCGCGACGCCAGAGGTCGCCGGTGCCTGGCAGGAGCGTCAGCTTGGATTCGCGCGCTGGGGGATCTCGGGTCCTGTCTCTGGGGCCACCGCGAAGTGTTCCATCTCAGGCCAGAGTGCGGCTGTCCTGAGCCCAGTAAAACGGGGGTGGGGGGAGGCGGGGGGCGGGGCCTGGGGAAGCGAAGATTCGCGAAGCAGCGTTGCCGCCTCCACCTCTCTTTCCACAGCTCGCACAGTGCCTTCCAGCTTTCAGGGCCTCCCAGACTCTACCAGGCTTCATTCAAACCTCTGCTCTAAGTCTGTCCCAAAGTGAGGACTGATAACGGGTTGGAATGGGGTGCAAGCGTTAAAATAGCTCCCTCACCACTTGGGGACTAGACTGACTTCTTATTCTGGACTGTGTAACTAGCCCTGTTGGGGAACAGGGTTGAACCAGAAGGAACTGAACACTTGCCATTCCTGCTAGATGAGCAGCGGGGGGTGAGGGTGGAGATTACCCTGGTGGCCCTTTTATGTTGACCTAATGGTAGCCCAGGGAGTCTTTGGATGATTCTTAGGACAGCTCTGGAAAAAAATTAAAAAGTGGACTCTGGAGGATAACGCCGCTTGGAACAATTCCTCAGGAACTAGAATTTTCGATCCAACTTGTTCCTCTGGTCAAGGAAGAAAAGAGATTGGATTCTTTTTTTTTTTTTTAAGATTTGTTTTTATTTTTAAGTCATCTCTACACCCAACATGGGGCTCGAACCTATAACGCCAACAACAAGAGTTGCATGCCCTACCTAACTGAGCCAGCCAGGCACCCCTGGAGTGACGGAATTCTCAATCACTGAATTCCCAGTGCCTAACCCTGTGCTCATAAGTTTATTCAACTGCTCTGAAATTCATATTAACGATTCATGTTTTCTCTCCCAGAGGAGTTTGCATTTTGTTTTTAAGATTTTATTTATTTATTTGACAGAGACAGCGAGAGAGGGAACACAAGCAGGGGGAGTGGGAGAGGGAGGAGCAGGCTTCCCGCCGAGCAGGGAGCCCGACGCGGGGCTCAATCCCAGGACCCCGGGATCCTGACCCGAGCCGAAGGCAGACGCCCAACGACTGAGCCACCCAGGCGCCCCGAGGAGTTTGCATTTTTAAGAGAATTTCTGGAAGAAAGCTAAGCTTAACTAAAAAGAGTAAAGAGTAATAAGAATAGGGTAGGGATGGCATTAGGTAGGAAGGATATTTGGAGCACTGCAGCCCTCCTGGTTCCCCTCCAGGTGAACACTCTGCCAGGCTGCTTAGTACCTTCTTTAAAGCAGGGGAATCTCTTCAAGATTTTAGCTAACCTTGTTCCCAATTCGTCCCGACTGTACCCCAGCCCTTGCAAAAATCCATACATCTTGAAGTTCCATGCAGGTTCCCAATGAAATTGCAAACGCCAAAAACCTGGATAGTCACAGAGAAAGTTATACAACAACAAGAAGATGATCTAGTTTCTGGAGATACACTAAAATCCACGTTTGCTGAAAGCTGGTTATGTTGATCATTATATTTAATATAATGATTTAATAACCCCTCTTGGGTTCCTGTAAGTCGAGGACGGAACTTCTCTCTGCAGACTTCTTAGTACTTACGGCAGATCGTATTTTCAAACAATGCCCACAACCGTATTTCCAATTGTACCTGCTCTTCCAGAACTTGCCACTCCCCCATCAAAGGGTGGTATCTGTGTTCCCTCTCCCCTTGAACTTCAGTGGACCCTTGTGACCGCCTCAAAGAATACAATGTGGCAATAAAGACTGCAAAACTTGTGAAACCAGGTCATAAAAGACAATCTAGTTCCTGCCTGACTCACTCTCACACTCTTGCTGTCCACTCATTTTGGAGCCCTGAGCTGCCATGTAAAAAAATCTAGACTACAGTGAGATATCACATCACACCTGCTAGAAAGGCTATCATCAAAAAGACAAGAGACAGCAAATGCGGACGAGCCTGTGGAGAAAAGAGAACCCTCAGGCACTGTTGGTGGGAATGTAAATTGATACCACCACTATGGAAAACAGTGTGGAGGTCTGTCAGAAAATTAAAAATAGAACTACCACATGATCCAGAGATTCTACTTGTGGGTATTTACCCAAAGAAAGTGAAAACAGGATCTCAAATATTTATCTTCATTCCTATGTTTATTGCAGCATTATTCACAACAGCCAAGATAGGGAAACAACTTAAGTGTCTGTCAATAGATAACTAGATAAAGAAAATATGATGCACATATATATAGAGAGAGAGAGAGAGAGAGATTGAGATATATAGATATAGCTCTATACACACACAATGGAATATTCAGCCATGAGAAAGAAGGAAATCCTGCCATTTGCAACAGCATCGATGGATCTTGAGATCTCATAACTCAGTGAAATAAGTCAGGCAGAGAAAGACAAATATGTATGACCTCACTTATATGTGGGATCTAAAAAAGCTGAACTTGCAGAAACAGTAGAATATTGGTTACCAAGAGCTGAGAGGTGAGATAAAGGGGATATGTTAGTCAAAGAATACAAACTTGCAGTTATAAGATGAATACATTCTGGGGATCTAATGCACAGTGTTGCGATTACAGGTAACAATTCTGTAGTATATATTTGAAAGTTGCTAAGAGTGTAGATCTTATATGTGGTCACCACAAAGAGAGGAATAGTAATTATGTGACAAGATGGAGGTATTAGCTAACGCTAAGGTGGTAGTCCTAGCTCCAAAATGTAAGTATATCAAATCAACACGCTGTACACCTTAAGCTTACACAATGTTATATGTCAATTATATCGCAATAAAGCTGGAAATTTTTTAAAAAGAAATTGATCTACCTTGAAGCTGCCATGCTGGAGAAACCACGGAGAGACAACATAGCCAAACACAACAGGAGCGACAGCTTTTTTTGGTGTTTCCAGCCCAAATACCCCACACCTGAATGAGTGAGCCTTCAAATTATTTTATTCCCAGCCACCATCTTATGGTAAGCGTATGAGAGACTCCCAAGGAAGAACCACCTAGCTGAGCCTAATCAATGCCTGAATCTATGTGATGACCACACAATGATTTATGTTGTTTTAAGCTACTAAGTTTAACTGTGATTTCTTCCATAACAGTAGATAACCAAAAGAATATTTATGCTATAAAGAGATTGCCTCAGGTAGAATATGAGAAGATTTGTCCCAAGTATTCACAAATCTACACCAAAGAAAATGCTCAATTATCTATACATACTTATATATGAAAACTAACCTATGTGGGCGCCTGGGTGGCTCAGTTGGTTAAGCAACTGCCTTCGGCTCAGGTCATGATCCTGGAGTCCCGGGATCGAGTCCCGCATCGGACTCCCTGCTCAGCGGGGAGTCTGCTTCTCCCTCTGATCCTCCCCCTCTCATGCTCTCTGTCTCCCATTCTCTCTTTCAGATAAATAAATAAAAAATCTTTAAAAAAAAAAAAAGAAAACTAACCTATGCAATACAGGGGTTCTGATTCCAGTTAACACAGAATAATCACACTCAACCCATTCTCTCCCACTGAATAGGATGCGGGGATCAGTTATTTGAGGACTCTAAAAATATCAATTGTACCAGGTAAATTGAGGCAGAGCACCAGAATTTGAAGTAAAACAACAGGCAGTGAGTTTATAATTTTTTCCCTCCAGTAGCCACTGGACTGAACTAAAGGCAGTCCAAGCCCAGAAGGGGACATTGACATGGACAGAGTGAGCACCAAGAAGAGCAGAAAATAGACCTCCTTATGTTCAGAGAGAGTAGGGAAGTACACCAATTTTTCTTTTTTCCATTCTCTCACACCCTTGCCAATAGGCAATCCCCCATTGTGGCTGAGTCAACAGTGACAATGGAGGGAGCAGTGCTGCCAAAGTACCTAAAATGTTGAGGGGGGCGGGGAACCTTCCTCTCTGGTTTGGAATAGCCATGGTCCCAAGTCAGTGGAGGCAAATGCCCATTGATACACCTTTTTCTCACTCTCTCCTTCCTCCTGCTGCTTGGCTCCAGACATGGGTGAAGTTGCAGGAAGTGCATGCCAGAGAGAAGTAAATAAAGACTCAGATTTCTTGCCAAAGGATTGAAAAGAGGAACTCCAAGGAACTGCAAAGTCCCAGCAAGATTTTGGAGAGGGAGCAACTTGGGAAAACAACCCTATAGAGTTTATGAGCTCCTAAGTTCACCCTAACCTGCATGTGGATCTTATCCTAAACAGCATACCAAAGACTGTGAAAAACGAACTAAGAAACAGATCACCACCCAGATCTGAAACTAGCCACTGGATAAAACACTTGTGGGGCAAGTCAAAATAGCACTGCAAAATTTTTGAAGACTGAATTGACTTTGGAGCCATGATCCACAAAAGGCAGGCCAGAACTTGTGATCTGGAACCAACCATGTTGACTACAAGCTAAAACAAAAATATGAATACTCCTGTATAAGATTAACACAAGACACAAGGCCCCATCACATAATATTAAAAATGTCCAAGATATGGGGCACCTGGGTGGCTCAGTCGGTTGGGCGTCTGCCTTCAGCTCGGGTTGTGATCCTGGGGTCCTGAGATTGAGCCCCACATCAGGCTCCCTGCTCAGTGGGGAGTCTGCTTCTCCTCTCCCCCTGCTCGTTCTCTCTCTCTAATAAATAAATAAAAATAAATTTTAAAAAATGTCCAGGATACAACCCAAAAATTATTCAGTACATGAAGAAC